GGGGGGGGGCGGGGCGGCGCGCGGGAGGGGGAGGGCGGTGCCCGGGCGAGCGTGGCCGCTCGCGGCGCCCGGAGGCCCGGCCCTTGAACGGTGGCGACCCCGCCTTCGCGGGAGCGATCTTGGGAGCTTGCCGCCTGGCGCGGCCAAGTGCCGCCCCCCCCGCCGCCGGCCACCGGCCGCCGTGCGTGCTGTGGCCGGGGCGCGCCCTTCGGACATGGGCGCTGGCGCCGGCGTCCGGTGGCCAAGGCCGCGGGTCTGGCTGCCGGCCGGCGAGCCTTGCCGGGCGCCTCGTTGGCAGATGCCGCCCCGGCCCTCGTCATTGTGGATGTGGGGCCCCGCACGCTGGTGCGGCCTCCCCCCCCCCCGGGAGCCGGCAATCTGCCACTTTGATCCCGGAGCGCGGGCCCCGCCCGGGCCGGGAAGGAAGATGGCGACAGACGGGCCCGCCCGGGCCTTTTGTCGCGCCGGCCCCCGGGCCGGCACACCGCGATGCACGGGGGGGGGGGGGGGGAAGGGGAGCCCAAAAGCGCGCCCCCCCCCCCCCCCGCCTCCGAGGCCGCGGCGCACGCACAAGGGGAAGGCCCCGCCACCCGGCGGAGCTGGGGGGTGGGGCGGCGGCGGGCCTGCGCGCCCTGACACGCCAAGGCGCAAGCCCGGGAGGTGTCACGTGCGCGATCTAATGGAGCAGAATCCAGTCTATTGGTGTTCACATGGGCGGGTCGTGGGGGATCACGAGGAAGCCGAGGGCCTCGCAGTCCGGCACCGCCACCACGCACAGGGACAGCCCGTCGGCGGTGCTGGGCCGCCGGGCGGCCCCGCCGGCGCCACCGGGGGGGAACCACCCGAGCGGCGCACAGTCGAAGGCCCGGACGCCGAGGGGGAGAGTGCCGCGGGTGGACCACACCACCGGCGGCCGGGGGTCCTCCGCGCCAGCGACCTCGGCATCGGCGTCGTCGGTGAGGGTGGCGGGCCAGGCCTGCACCAGGCTGCTGTCCTCGCCGCAAGAGAGGACCGACCCTCCGGGGAGGAAGGCCGCGCGCCAGGCGGGCCCGGCATGGCGGCCGGCGCAGGCGACCGGTCGGGAGGCGTCCGCCGCGTCGCCAGGGCGTGTGAGCCCCTGCAGGGCGCCCAGGTGGTACACCAGCATGTGGCCCTCCTGTGCGGTGGCGCACAGGTGCCAGGGCGCCAGGGCGCTGCCGCCCCACTGGAGGGACAGGTGATGTAGGCCATCCTGTGTGCATGGGTTGGGAGGGGGGGGGGAGAGGTTGCGGAGTGTGAGAGAGAAGTGTGAGAGAAGTGTGAGAGAGGTGCGAGAGAAGTGTGAGAGAGGTGCGAGAGAGAGGTGTGAGAGAGAGGTGCGAGAGAGAGGTGTGAGAGAGAGGTGCGAGAGAGAGGTG